TTTAAAAACAACAACAACTTGGTAAGGTTGGATTGGATAATTTCGAAGGAGGCTTCCATAATACCTCAATTTCTATGATTCTGTGATTTTCATGTGTGATTCAAACTGGCTCTGAAGACAATTCCCAGAGAGCATCATACTTAAAGAATCTCTGATTTCATCCATTGCAACCCCCTCTGACTTAATAAATATTCGATGACCAAAAAAATACACCTCCTCCCATATTCCTCCTCCCCCTGCCAGCCTAATGATGAGTTTTTCAGGAACTTGGCTGGACAGGTCCTTGGACAACAGATGTACAGTTAGTCCATCATGGCCCAGGCTGCTTGGGAGGACCTCGTAGAACTGTCTGGGATACTCTTCAAGAACATGGGGTCACCTTCAGCCCACAGTGCAGCATCAGAGGATTTCAGAAAAGGATTTAAAAAGTGTTTGACTTAATAAAAAAAACAAAAGCAAAACAAAAAAAAGTGTTTGAAAGGTGGCAGCAGCATCTACATTGGTGTATAACTAGCACTCCAATAGGTCTGTGATCTCTTCAATGGGGGCACCCTCTTTGAGGATAGAGGTCACAGCCCATCCGTGCCTGCCCATCCTGGACTCCTTTTCTCCTTGTCTCCTCATCAATTCACCACGTGGAGCCCACGCAATGTGCTAGAAGCCTTCCTCAATTTCTCTAACATGTGAAGATGCCATTAAAACAGAAAGACCGTCCATTGCTTATCCCCCTCCCCATCCTCATTAATTTATTTGGTATGTACTTATTAACATACACATCTCTTCCAATAAAATACAAGCTCTCTGAAAGTTAGAAAATATTTCATTTTTGTCTGTATTTCCAGTACCTAGCACAGTGCCTAGAATAGAGTAGGTGTCTAATAAATGCTTGCTAGTTATATGATTATCCCTTACTCTTACTTTGTGACCAGCCCATCTCTTTTTTTTTCTGATCATATACCTCTTTGATGACACCCTTTACCAGGTATGTGCTAGAGCCAGTTCTAATTGTTAAATTTTCAACCTGAACATGTACACCTAAGAAATCAACAATGCCTACAAATCAGGGCTTGAGTTATTGTTTTCTTGATTGTCTAGACTTAAGAAAGTGTGAACAATGCAAATTAGACTTTAAAATGTGGATTATGCCCCCCTCCGACAAGAGCCTGGTTGTTAAGCATTTACTATCACACCCCTATATATGTTTAGAGCCATTCCTACCTCTCAGGTCATACCAAAAAAAGGGGAGGGCGTTGTGCTGGATTTGGCCAGTGGACCATGGTTTGCTGAGCCCTGTCCAGTCAACTCTCTTAGCATCCTAAGTTTCAGAGTAGATGCTCACCAAGAGAAGTGGAGGGACTTTTGGCACCTGAGACTTCCTTGTACTAATGAATTACAAATTGGACTGTATTCTAGTCACCTTGATTTTGATAACTGGAAAATTACTGATCAAATTTATTCCTAAGGCTATACTTTTCTAGGAATCTTACCTCCTTTTTGCCATATGTATGAGACCTCATGCTGGAGGCAAGCCTTCAAGGCTATAGATCAAATGCCTTTTATTAGTCAACAAACAATAATCACAGTGGGAGCATGTGTTCGTGATAGCACTTGTTCAGTTGTGGAAGGGGACATGTGGCCTGCTGTGGAATGTCGCTGTGGAAAGCCTGCCCATTCCCTTCTGATGCCCTCATTAAGGATGCCCTGAGTACATGTGTAGGTTATTCTCATAGACATTTTGGAGAGGTAGGAAAATAGATGTAAATGGGTTGCTTAAATAACAACCACAAATTCTCTTCTTTTATAGCCTTGCCTCACCCCAGTGATAGTTGGACCCATTTAAAAGATTGTCTTTATTTTTTTTAAAACCACTAATGAGAGAATGTGCTTTCCTTAGAAAGAAGCTGTCCACTAGAGCCAGTATTCTTATAATAGGGATAGATTGAAATCAGAAGGTATTCTCCGTACCTTTAGTCCAGAGAAATCTCTTTCTGTTGAGCTGCCTTTGGAGATAGGCTAATGAAGACGATGTAGAAGGCCACAGTCAATGAGGCTGTGCCTCAACTGGCTTGATGCTTTTTTTTTTTAGGCTGTTCTGTTTGGCCCCAGAGAGCAGAACTAGGAACAGTGAAGGGGAAGATGGTTGAGATCAGGGGGTAAACTTCCTAATGAGGCAGCTAGGTAAATAGTAGGTAGAGCACTGACTTGGAGTCCAGAAGAGCTGAGTTCAAATCAGGCACCCTCATTGGCAAACGCCAATGCACTCTGCCAGAGAGCTGAAAAAACAAAAATATGATATCAGTCCCAGCCATCAAGGAATTTAGTGTTGCTGAGGGTCCATCAGGCAACAAGCATTTCTCAAGAGCCTATGATGACGCAACTAGGCAGTGCAGTAAGTGGGGGATGGATGACCGATTGCTTAGGGAATGGAGGATAGAGGATTCCCAAACCACCTAGCTGTTCTGATACTTGTTACCTATGCAATCTTGGGCAACTCATATAGGTGATATGCCCACTGTGCACTTCTTTGGTCCAACTATTATGTTTCATTTTGGGTACCACAGCTAGGTGGTGCGGTGGAGAGATCTTTGGACCTGAAGTCAGGAAGACTCATCTTCCTGAGTTCAAATCTGGCCTCAGACACTAGCTGTGTGATCCTGGGCTAGTCACTTCACCCTATTTGCTTCAGTTTCTTCATTTGTAAGGAGAAGAAAATGGAAAACCACTCCAGTATCTTTGCTGAGAAAACTCCAAACAGAGTCACGAAGAGTTGGACACAACTGAAAAATGACTGAAATTGTCAAGATGAAGGAGGTTGAGATGAGAGCAACTGGGATAGTGAGGAGATTGGAGACTTCTGCCCTAGAAAGGATTGATTAGTCATCAGAACTGGAAATGTTCAGCCTAGAGAAGTGATTTCATGAGGACACGATCACTGCCTGCTTTGAAGGCTTGTCACGTGGAAGAGGAATTAGCCTCATTCTGCCTGGACCCAGAGGGCCAAACGGCAACATTGGGTGGCATTGAAAGGAGGCAAATTTAGTCTTAATGTTATTTTTAAAAAATCTACACTTTCAGCTTTTCCAAAAGTGGGAACTTGAATAGCTCAGTTTCCCACTGCCTTGGGAGGCGGCCCCCTTCCCCTCCTTGGAGGTCTTCAAGCCAAGATTGGATATTAGATATGTTACAGTGAGGAGTCTTTTCCTATATAGGTTGGACTGAGGTCCCTTCCAACTGTCAATTTCTGAGATCCTGGGATTCTGTGGGCCTTGGTTTTCCCCTCTATAAAATGAGGAGGTTGGACTAGATGCAAGGATTCTTAGCTTGTGTATCTCAGGCCCTTCTGGCAGCTTCTCAGAATAGTATTTTTTAAACACAAAATAAAATCCACAGGATCCCAAAGGAAACCAATTCTACTGAAATACCATCATCAAAATATTTTGAAAGAATAAGTTCATGGCCCCAGTTAACCTCTGAACTAGATGACCCCTGAGATGCCTCATGTCACTGACGTTCTAGGAGCACATGACTCTGTGACTTCAGAAAGGGACAGAGTTGGGCAGTTGAAATTGGACTTCCCAGAGGAGGTGCAGCTGGGAGTCTATGTTTGAAGGACGAGTGAGGTTTAGCTAGGCAGGAAAAGGAAGAATGGAACCAGGGTGTGTATAAGGGATGGAGAGGAAACCAGACATTCATTTCCGAAGAGCCCTAAATCCTCTCATGTCTATTTCTTATCTTACCTTTGCAAGACCCCTAAATAGTAGGCATGATTATGTGGGTTCCAGGTCCCTTTTGAGATGAAGAAACTAAGGTACAGAGATGAATGAAATTGTTTATATCAGTAACAAGTTTAAGATTAGATCCCAAACCTCCGGGCTCCCAATCAAGTGCCCTGTGCATGTGGTACAAAATCCTTGGAATAAAATTTGCCTGTGTAGAAAATGTTCTTTAATTTTTTTTTTTTAGTTACAAGGAAAAGGGGAATAGGAGGTGGAGAGGGAGGGAAACAAACATTTATTAAGTGCTTACTGTATACCAGGCACTGTGCTAAGCACCTTACATATATTATCTTATTTGATCCTCACAGCCCTGGGAGGTGGGTGCAATTATTATCCCCATTTTACAGTTGAGGAAACTGAGGCAAACAGTGGCATACTCAGAATCACACAGCTAGTAAATGTGTGAAGCTGGTTGAATTCAGGTCTTTCTGACCCCAGACGCATCTGAGAGTCATAATACCTAGCTCTGAGCCCCCACTGTTACAAACCAGCTGTGTGACCCTGGGCCAGTTACTTTTCCTCTCTGGACCTCAAATCCAAATTTTTAAAACAGGGGCATTGGTGATGATTTCTCTTCCTACATTTTGTGTTCAAAGATCCTTCCCAACTCCGACATGTTGTGTTCTTGGGTCACTTCCAAGTCTGACCTAACTTTGTTATAAGGATCTTCCCAGCTCTGACATTCTCTGTTCTGAGGACTCTTCCATCTCTGATATCCTGTATTCTAAGGTTATTCCCAGCTCCAGCATTCTGTATTCTACACCTGAAGGTCACTCTGGGCTTCCTTCTGAGGGTGATGATTCCCTAGTCCTTCCCACTCCCCCCCTACTCTAATGTTCTATAATATTAAGAGGCATGTTGAGGATAGGAAAAGTCACTCTTGGTTCTCTAAATTTATGTTCCTACTAATTGCCCTGTAGTCCCAATAAAACTCATGTCTGTGTGCCAAAAGTCCACAAAAAAAGCCTGTCCACAAGGGCAGGGCCAAAACTGCCAGGCGATGTGAGCAGGATCCCTGTTCTATTTGTGAAGCATGCTCCTTGTCGGCAGGGCTTCAAAGCAAACTGCAGGAAGAAGGGAATATTTCTGTAGCTGCTCTGAATGTCATCTGCACCATATTGGGTCAATGGGGAAAGGACATTGCAAGAGACCTTGAGACTGGGAGGAAAGGGGAACATCAGGGAACTGCCCACTTTTTATAGACCCATCTCTCTCCTTTCCCAGCACCTCGAACAAGAGAAACACGAGTTAAGAAGACGATTCGAGAACCGAGAAGGTGAGTGGGAAGGTAGAGTATCGGAACTGGAGAGCGATGTGAGACAGCTGCAGGTTGAGCTAGAGAAGCAACAGATTCACCTCCGAGAAGCAGACAGAGAGAAGACCAGGGCAGTCCAGGAACTCTCTGAACAGAACCAAAGACTCTTGGATCAGCTCAGCAGGGTGAGTTACTGGTTAAGAAACAAAGTGGGTGGAAAGTGACCTGAATGCTGGGGAAAGGGGCTGCCGTGTAATGTCTAGTCATGGCAGGATAAATTACATGCCTGAAATTGACTGATTTTCACTTTTTTGATGTTGAAGTTTTTTGCAGATGACTTTTGATTTTTCAGCCTGGGAAAATTTAAGGGAGTTGGTGGCTCCCCTCCCATTGGTAGTCTCCAGGCAAAAGCTGGATGGCCACTTGCTGGGTATGGAGGAGACAGGATTCTTTTAGTGTGTGGATTTGATGCTCAAAGATGGCTTTGAGCTCCCTTCCAACTGTCAGATTTTGTGATTCAATGAAGGCAATGTTGTGTAGCATAAAGAAAACTGGCCTGGATTTTAATTCCAGGTCTACCATCAGGTAATAGTTGGGCACACAAATGTAAAATACAATTCATTTTCCCTTTAATAGTTCTTTGAGGCAGATAGTTCAAATATTATCATTACCATCTTAGAGAAAAAATTGAGACACAGACAAGTCCATGGGAAAGTCATCAATAATCATCAATCACCAATGCATCAACAGGGATTTAGTAGAGGCAGCTAGATGGCTCAGTGGATAGACTCAGGAAGACCTGAGTTCAATCTGATCTCAGATACTTACTAGCTATGTGACCCTGGGCAAGTCACTTAACCCTGTTTCCCTCGGTTTCCTCATCTGTAAAATGAGCTGAAGAAGGAAATGGCAAATCACTCCAGTATCTTTGCCAAGAAAACCTCAAATGGGGTCACAAAGAATCAGACACCACTGAATAATAACAACTATATGCCAAGCACTATACTAGGCACTGGGCATATAAATACAAAAGTGAGACAATCCATGCCCTCAAGAAACTTACGTTCTAGTTGGGAAAGACATACACACACATAAGTACATACAGAATAAACACAATATGAATGTAATATAGTTTGGAGAAGGAGGATGCCAGCAGCTGGAAGGGACCGGGAGTGGAGAATGTGACACTTGAACTTTGAAGAAAATTGAAGATTCCAAGAGACGGGTGGCTCAGTTTCTTCATCTCTAAAGCGGGCATTTTAATAATTTCCCTACCCTACCTACTTTATAGGACTATTCATTTCAGTTCAGTTAACATTTATTGAACACCTACTATGTTTGAGATACTATACTGGGAGCTCAGAGTTTGGTTTGTTTGGTTTTTTTTTTAAGGGTGGTTGGGTAGACCACCTGTGGTTTCATCAGCATGGGAAATTTCCAGTGTGGAAATTCCCTCTACTGATACAGATAGCTCAGCAACTGATCTGGAATTTGTAGTCTTAAAATTTTTCCCGGGACACTGAGAGATTAAGTGATTTGTCCATGGCCGCTGAGCTCTGGAGATACAAAGACAAAACTGAATGGCCCTTGCCTTTAAGATTATATCCTATTTGGTGTAAGGAAAGCCATTTGTAAACCCCATTGTTGTTATTGTTAAGTCATTCAGTTGTGTCCAGCTCTTCATGACCCACGGAGAAATGGGGTTTTCTTGGCAAGCATGCTGGAGTGCTTTGTCACTCCTTTCTCCAGGGTGTCCCATCTTTACAGATGGGGAAACTGAGGCAAACAGGTTTAAGTGACTTGTCCAGGGTCACACAGCTAGTTAGTGTCTGAGGACTATTTTGAACTCAGATCTTCCTGATTCTGAGCCAGGTGCTCTATCCACTGCACCACCCAGCTGACCCTTGTAAACTTTAAAATGATACATCAATGTGACTTTGTATCAAGTTATTTCCCCATACTCACACAGCAGTCAAGTACTACATTCTTCCAACTCTTAGTTGTTATTACTGTTTCCATTATACCACATTGCCTCTTTGCTAGCTGAGCTGGGCATGACCACCAGGAAAAAAGAGGAACCAGGCCTTACTTGAGTCATCAGATGGCTTCCTATTTTACCCATTTATTCTTGTTAACTAGGTGCTAAGTGCAGTTGCTTCCAAGTTCAGGGAGTACAAATGTGAATGGCTTCTAAATTTCAGCACCCTGTGGCAAAGTCCCTTTTGCCTCACCCTAGTCATGGCTTTGTAGGTATATAAGGCAGGCCGTGTGAGTATCTCTATTTATAATTTGTTACCATTCATTTATCTGTTTATCAGTTTCCTAACTGGAGGCTAAAATTAAGGAATTGGATCCCAATGTCTGGAATCCCTTTCTGGTTCCAATATCCTAAGATTCCTGCATGTTTATTGTGGTATTCCGTTGGGGGGAAATGGAATGAATATATTCCACTCACGTTTTAAAAGATGCTATTGCAGAATAAAGACACACAGTGTCATTTGGAACAGATACAGCCCCTAATGATGCTGCAGGTGTGAATTTCATGCTCTCATGATTTATAACTACACAGAGACCTAGCTAACAATTCCATAGCCTGGGGCAAGGAGCACAAAAGACAAACTCAAGTCAACTCTTGGAGACAAATTCACTCATGTGTTGGGGAAAAAGACCTTGGACTCAGGACACAAAGCCCTATGTGGGAAAGAGACAGAGACCCTGGAATACCAGCCCAAGGAGGAGCTAACCGAGATCAGCTGGTGGCTTCCTATTTTGACTAATTGTTCTTTCTAAATAAGCACTAAGCTCAATTGTTCTTACCAGTTGGAGGAAGTCTTCCCCAATCCTTCTTAATTCTGATGATTTCCCTCTTTTCATCAGTTTCTAGTTATCCTTTATATAGGGCACTGGGCTTGGAACCAGAAAGACTTAATTTCCTGAGTTCAGATCTGGCCTCAGACACTAGCTGTGTGACTCTGGGTGAGTCATTTAACCATGTTTGGCTCAGTTTCCTTATCTGTAAAATGAGCTGGAGAAGGAAATGGCAAACCACTTTAGTATCTTTGCTAAGAAAACTCCAAAATGGGGTCATGAAGTTGGACATGCCTGAAAAACAAATTTATCCTGTATAGAGCTTGCTTTGTATATATTTGTTTGCATGCTGTCTCCCCCATTAAATTGTAAGCCCCTTGAGGAAAGGGGACTGTCTTTTGCCTCTTTTTGTCTTAGCACTTAGTACAGTGCCTGGCACATAGTAGGCACCTAATAAATGTTTATTGAGTGATTAATTGCCTTATAAATTTCAGGACCCTGAGACCAAGTCCCTTTTGGCCCACCCTAGTTACAACTCTGTAGGTATGTAAGGCAGGTTGTGTGTGTATCCATAGTTCCTTTTTATCGTGATCGCATAATTTATTGAACATAATGATGAAAAATAAAATTAAGTGTTACTATATAGAGTCCTTTTCCGCCAGCCATCTCCCAAAACTATCCCTACATTAGCAGGAAGTGAAAAGGGGAGAAAGGGGAGTGCCATATATCTGGCAGCTTAGATCCTACTCTTAATATGATGGGAAGGATGCTGGCACTCAAGCCAGAGACCTGGATTCAAATCCCATCTGTGTGTGTGTGTGTATGCCCCTTGTAGATGGCACACTCTAAATAAAAGTCATTGTAAAGGGGTGTGTGTGTGTGTGTGTGTGCATGTATGTGTGTATATGTATATACACACACCTATACATATATACATATACATACACATATATAATACATATATACACACACATACCTATTGCTTGTGTGACCTTGAACAAATCATTTAACTTCCTCAGGCCCCAGCTTCCTTCATTATAAAAAGAGGGAAAAGCCTAGATGGTCTCTGAGGTTCCTTCCAGCTTCAGACCTACAATCCTATGTCCTGTGTGACCTCGAGAAAGCTACTTAACCTCTCTGGACCTCAGTTTACTCCTTTGCATCATGAAGGGACTTCATGTCCCCCAAGAATCCTTCCCACTCTAGATCTGTGATCCTATGACCTAAATAATCTCAGACAAGTCACTTAAGATCCTTGGCCCTCAATTTCCTCTCCTGTAAAATGAGGAGACTGGACTTCCTGTCCTCTTAGCACCCTTCCAGCTCTAGATCTCAGTCAATCTAATATTCTGTGAAATCAGAGAATCATCGGGAGAAGAGATGTGTAGCCATACTTACTTACCATTTATTTTCTTCCTTTCTACATTAAATCAGAGCCTTTTATTTCTAATGGTTTGCAGTATGTTATAGAAATATTACTTTATTAGTTAATTAAGGCTCAGTCTACAAAATCATTAAGTGGAGGAAGGTTGAGAAAGAGAAAATCTGATTTAAATATAGTGCAGGCCTTTTAAACAAAAGCAAGTATATGAGGAATGACCCAGTCCCAGAATTCCCTGCTCCTGACAATCAAGAAGTGGAATTAATACCAATCCTCTCATGTGTTGAAAAAAAATTGAATCTTAACTCATTAGTTATAATATAATTTATATATATATATATATATATATACAATATTATATAATTTATACATAATATAATTTCAACTCTGGTTCTCTTTGCCCACTATTGTTCCCATGAAAACCTAACATGAGTTGTAAGGGAACTGGGCTGCTTTGCTCATAGAGAAGGCTTAGGGGAGGATGTGAGAGCTGCAGGAAACTTATTCTACTTGGCCCCAGAGGGCAGAACCTGGAAGTGGCAGAGATAATTAACCAGTCACTCAATAAGCAAGCAAACAATTAGTAAGGACCTACTGAATGCCAGGCACCTGATAGGGACTGGGTGTTTCAAAGACAAAGAATAAAACAATCTCTGTCCTCAAAGAATTTACATTCTAATGGAGGATACAATGAATATATACAGAATGAATGAAGAGAATAAATACAAGGTAATTTAAATATGTGTCCCAGCAATGACAGCCATTCCAAAGTGTGATAGGCTGTCTCAGAGGTGGTGGGTTCCCCTTCTGTGAACATCTTCAAGCAAAGACTAGATGACCACTTATTGGATATGTTGGAAGGGCCACTCTTATTAAGGAATTGCTTGAGCTAGATGGCTCTGAGGTCTCTGAAATGCTTTGATTTCATGAAGTCAAAGCTGTCGTTTGAGTCAGAAGACCTAGGTTCAAATGCTTGTTCTATCACTTACTAGCGGC